AGTGGGGGGACCAGGCTGGGGACAGGGCCAGAAGACCCAGGGGGCGCGGCGGATCCTGGAGGTCAGGGGGCGGGGAAGGAAGAAGACGGAGAGGGGGGCGTGGGTAGTGAGCGGGAGAGAGATACTGGGAGGGGCGGAAAAGGGGACGAGAGTGGGGGAGGCTATTAGGGGTGTCCATTGGCTGGAGCCAGGACAAGGGTCCCCAACAGCCTGAGGGCAGAACTCACGTTCCCTCTGGCCCCCCTCTAGGGCCTAGATTCGGAGGTGGAGCTATCGAAGGGCTCCCAGGTGCTGGTGACCGTGGACCCGGCATTCCGGACGCAGGGGGACGAGAACACCGTGTGGCTGGACTACCCCAATGTCGTCCGGGTCGTGCCAGTGGGGGGCCGCATCTACATTGACGACGGCTTCATCTCCCTTGTGGTCAAGAAAATCGGTGCGGACGGCCCCCCGCCCTGACCACCCCCAGAAGCTGGGTGCACGCTTTTCCCTCGGGTGGGGGGTGGGGGCTCCTCCATTCAGCCTTTAGACAGACCACGCCTTCCCCTGGCCACGCCTCCTCCACAGCGGCCCCCGGAGCCCCCAGCAGCAGACCCCAGTGCTCACCCTGGTTTGGGGCTGGACTGGTGGGTTAGTGGCTTCTTCCGGAAACGTCCACCCGATTCTATTCGGTACAAGTCCCAGGCCAGGGACGGACAGACGGACAGGACATGGTTCCCGCTCTTGTAGGGGTCCAAGCCCGATGTCCCCTCTGCCGTGACTATGCCCTGGCCACACACTGACCGAGCTGGCTCTCCCTATGCCCACAGGCCCAGAGGGGCTGGTGACCGAAGTGGAGGACGGCGGCGTCCTGGGCAGCCGAAAGGGCGTGAACTTGCCGGGCGTCCAGGTGGACCTGCCTGGACTGTCTGATCAAGACATCCGGGACCTGCGCTTCGGGGTGGAGCATGGCGTGGACATCGTCTTTGCCTCCTTTGTCCGGAAGGCCAGTGACGTGACGGCTGTCCGGGCTGCTCTGGGGCCAGAGGGGAAGGGCATCAAGATTATCAGCAAAATCGAGAACCACGAAGGCGTGCAGAAGTGAGGCTTGGTCTTTAACTTTCCCATCAGGCCCTCTAACACCATCACCAGCCCCCTTCTCCCGCCTGCCTCTCCCTGGTGTCTCCTGACTCCCCCAATCGCCCAGGTTTGATGAAATCCTGGAGGTGAGCGACGGCATCATGGTGGCCCGAGGTGACCTGGGCATCGAGATCCCAGCTGAGAAGGTCTTCCTGGCTCAGAAGATGATGATCGGGCGCTGTAACTTGGTCGGCAAGCCGGTGGTCTGTGCCACACAGGTCTGGAGTGAGCCCTGAGGACTGGGGCCCTCTGTGGGCTCTGGGGACACCTGAGGGAGAAGGCCCACGTCTTTTTTATTATTACTATTGTTGTAGTTTAAGTGAAAGTTTACAATTTAAGTCAGTCTCTCATACAAAAATTTATATATACGTTGTTTTGTGACCCTAATTGCTCTCCCTATACTGTGACAGCACACTCCTCCTTTCCACCTCTGATTTCCCGTGTCCATTCAACCAGCTCCTGACCCTCTCTGCCTTCCCATCTCACCTCCGGACAGCAGCTGCCCATTTAGTCTCATGTATCTACTTGAGCTAAGAAGCGCACTCTTCACGAGTATCATTTTATGTCCCATAGTCCAGTCCAATCTTTGTCTGAAGAGTTGGCCTTGGGAATTGTTCTAGTTCTGCGTTGACAGAGAGTCTGGGGGTCATGCTTTCTGGGGCTCCTCCAGTCTCAGTCAGACCATTAAGTCTGGTCTTTTTACTAGAATTTGAGTCCTGCACCCCACCTTTCTCCTGCTCCATCAGGGACTCTCCTGTAAGGAGAGTTCCCTGTTCCCTGTCAGGAGGGCCCACGTCTTACTTAGGTCTGTAGCATGTTTTGCTACAAAAGCAATGACTATAGGAAGGGATCATGTGACCCCCATTTTCAGATGAGGAACCTGAACTGTCAGGATCACACAGTTGGTGTCTGTGACCCTGGCTTTCAGGGACATGCTGAGTGTGCGTGTCAGAGGGGTAACTTGGGCAGGGCCCTGGATGGGACTGTGACTCCGATAGCTGACATCCAAGGTGTCCCCAGATGCTGGAGAGCATGATCACTAAGCCCCGGCCAACACGGGCAGAGACGAGCGACGTGGCCAACGCTGTACTGGATGGGGCCGACTGCATCATGCTGTCGGGGGAGACTGCCAAGGGCAGCTTTCCCGTGGAGGCCGTAAAGATGCAGCACGCGGTAGGAGCTCAGAAGGCCGGGCAAATGGGCCAGGGAACCAAACCCCTTCTGGGCCCCAGTGCCCGGCCCCCCTGACCCCCTGGTGTCTGCAGATCGCCCGGGAGGCGGAGGCTGCAGTCTACCACCGGCAGCTGTTTGAGGAGCTGCGCCGGGCAGCGCCGCTGAGCCGTGACCCCGCTGAGGTCATCGCCATTGGTGGGGTGGAGGCTTCCTTCAAGTGCTGTGCGGCCGCTATCATCGTACTCACCACGAGCGGCCGGTGAGGGGGACACTGGGAATGTCCCAACTGGGCTTTGGGTCGGGGGCTGGGGTGGGCCACCGGCCTGGATTTTGTCTGCTCTTCGGGACGAAGAGTGTCTTCTCGGGCAAGAGGAGAGGTAACCGTGAGAGGTGGAGGCCAAGACAGGCAGATCTGGGTGCTCACCAGGAGCGCCGGTGCCAGCGAGCTCCAGCAGTCTGGAGGAGGAAAGTGGCAACAGTGGGTGCATTGACTTGGGGGCCATTTGGTCTCCTGGGACTCAGAGGCAATTCCTTTACATTTAGTCCACAAAACCTTATAAGGCAGAGATGTTGAACCCACAAGATCTAAGTTCAAGTCTTTGCTCTGAAATGTATTAACTCGGAGAACTTGGGTGGGTCACCCAGGCTCTATAAGCCTCCGTTTCCTCACGTCTATGATGGAGCTAGTGAAGGGTTCCTCGTGGGGCTGTGAGGATGAACTTGAGGTAATGTGTGTGTCGGGAGTGATGGCTCAACGGCAGAATTCTCGCCTTCCATGTGGGAGACCTAGGTTCGATTCCCAGCCGGTGCACCTCATGCACAGCCCCCACCTGTCTGTCAGTGGAGACCTGCATGTTGCTCTGATACTGAGCATGTTTCAGTGGGGCTTCCAAACTGAGACGAACTAGGAAGAAAGGCCTGGCTATCTATTCCTGAAAATCAGCCAATGAAAACTCTATGGATCGCAACGGTCTAATCGCCAACCAATCATGGGGATGGCAAAGGATTTCACTCTGTTGTGCCTGGGGCTGACTTGATGGCAGCTATCAACAACATGTATGTTATTTTATAAATTAAACACTGTATAAATGTACATTCTCAGAAGGGTTTTATGTTTCTCAGAAAGGTCTCTCATTATCTCATTGGATTCCCAGATCTTCCTTGAGCGATAGAAAGGGCAGGTATTCTTTTTTTTTTTTAATAAGTAGTGGAATTATGAGTGGTTTTAATTTCATTTTTACAACTTTTCATATTTTCCAAATTGTTTTTAATGCAGACATGTTTTCATAATCCAAAAACCATTAAGTATTATTTCTGGTTATATTACTACAATCAATTTTATTTTTTTAGAACCTTAATTTGCTCTTGAATTGTCTTCTTTTTCCAACTCTTTGCCCATGGAATTTTACATAATTTTTTCTCTGAAATTATTTTAGGATTTTTCAAATGTGTTCTCCTGCCTGGCTACAGAATTCCAAGGAATTCTTCTGGATTCCTGTTCTTCAAATATCCCAGACAGTTAATTTTGGTTAATCAGAACTTTGTCTTGGGGGACGTTTCCTCTAAATTCTGATGTAGAAATTACCACTGAAGTGAGTGAAGAATTAATTAGATGTGCTGTTCTCCGGAAGGATCTGCATGTATAAGTCCCCAGCTCCTTGCCTCTGCTTATCTCTGGGTTATATTAGGGCAGATTATTCTACACTTTGTCTTGACTTTGGTCTCTTATCTGTCCTACTCATTGCTTTTTTTCTTGTTGACACGCAAATGTCTTCCATTTAGCTTTCACCCTTAACCAGCTGCCATTGAGTAATTCCGAGTCACAGAGACCTTCTGAGTGTAAGAGTAGAACTGTGCTCCATGGGGTTTTCAATAATTTTTCTGATTTTTTGGAAGTAGATGGCCAGGACTTTCTTTTGAGGCACCTCTGGGTGGATTTGAACGGCCAACATTTCTGTTAGCAGTGGTGTGTGTTAACCATATGCACCAGCCAGGGACTCCCTTACCCCTTAGGGTGGTGGTTTCCTCTTACACCTCCTAGACCCTGAGGGCAGGTATTCTTATGCCTACTTTACAGATGAGAAAACCAAGGCCCAGAGAAGTATGATAACTTAGCCAGGGTCACACAGCTTGTTGGTGATACCTGGAACTAGAAACCAGACTCTTATCTGCTGGTTCAGCACCCTTCACTGTTCTGGGCTGATCTTCTCTACCTCCTCCAGCTCAGCCCAGCTTCTTTCTCGGTACCGACCTCGGGCTGCAGTCATTGCTGTCACACGTTCTGCCCAGGCTGCCCGCCAGGCCCACCTATACCGGGGAGTCTTCCCCTTGCTCTACCGTGAACCTCCAGAGACCATCTGGGCAGACGATGTGGATCGCCGGGTCCAATTTGGCATAGAAATTGGTGAGTTGTATAGATCTTCCTCCCCACCTCCCTCTGATCTTTGTATCAGGTACCCCTTCCCAGCACCCCCCGCCACAGTCCTGTGAGGTTCACTGAGACCCACAGGTATGTTGGCCTCCAAAGGAAGGACATGCTGAGGGGAGTGGGCAGAAGGGGACAGGACAGGGCCACCCCTAAAGAACTCAGCCAGCTGCTGCCTGCACCAGGTGGCCAGAGCCAGGCATGACTTAAGCAGCGAGAGACAAGAGGAGAAAGGGGGTCCAGTTCCCAGCAGCTGCAGCTAAAACAAATTTAACTTAGAAGTGACATGGACTCATTCCCCGCCCCTTACTATCAGCATGGAGCCTTGGTGGCGCAGTGGTTAGGAGCTCAGGCTGCTAACCAAAAGGTCGGCAGCTCAAATCCACCGGCCGCTCCGTGGAGACCCCATGGGGCAGTTCTAGTCTGCCCGATAGGGTCGCTAAGAGTTGGAATCGACTCCACAGCAATGGTTTTTTTTTCCTATCAGCAAAGCAACACAGGTGGCTAGGAGACTATTAGCAACAACACATTCCATCCCACCTCACGGACACCTGTGATCACGGTCTCTGTGGTGCCACCTGTGGCACACATTATACAGTGTGGCCCAGGCCCCATCTTCCCTAAAGGGTGGCCCCTCAGGGGTGAATGCTGCTCCTCATCAAGGGCTGGCCTGAGTCCCACCCTGCTGACTGTTGTCTTTCCTTCCCCAGGAAAGCTCCGTGGCTTCCTCCATGTTGGGGACCTGGTGATTGTGGTGACGGGCTGGCGGCCTGGCTCTGGCTATACCAACATCATGCGGGTGCTGAGCATATCCTGAGATGCCCCTCCCATCTCTGACTCGACCATCCCTGAACCCGCCCCTTCCACCCGGTGTCCTCCACCCCACGTCCAAGTGAGCCTTCTCTACCCCCAGCCTTCCCAAAGTTCCCATCCGAGGCCCCGTCTGCCATCTAGCGCCATTCCCAGGAGCCCCTTCCCCCTCTCCATGTCACTCAGGCCCTGACAGTCTGCGTTCAGTTAAGCACCGCCCAGCCGGCAGCACCAATTGTACATTCCCGGCATCCAGTCCTCTCATCTGGGGGCCCTAAGACACTCTGGGCCTTTAATCCCAGCTTGGCCAATTAATTCTGTCCCCCGGTCCTCCCATCCCCGGGGCAGGGGAGGGGGGATCAGAGCAGTTAATGTCCTCATTCTCCACAAAACCACTATTTTAGAAACACTTCACATCCATGCAGTGTGTTCTCATGACAATCTGGGCACCTCCTGAGGAGACTGCCACCTCCTCCTGATGGCCTCAGGCCAGGGCAGTGCTTCTCTTTCACTGTGACTAACAGTGACATCAAAGTACCACCCTTTTGGGGAAGCTAAGGTGGCCTGCGGGGTGTGTGGGGGGGGGGTGATGGGTACTGGGGAGACCCGAGAGCCTGGCTGGCTGATCTCATCACCGTCTTCACAACCTCCAGGCTGCCTTCCTGCCCACCTCACGCCTTGCTGGGCCAAATGCGCTGCTGTCCCTTCCTGCACCCAGAAATCCCTTCATGTCCACCTCGTTCCCACACACAAACCAGGAGACGAGATGAGTGTCTCCATTGTCTTTTTAAAGCTGTTTGGAAGCAATTATAAAACTTCTCCTACACACCCAGAACCCCCCACCCTGAAGGAAGGAAGATTTAGATGACAGGGTCCTGGCCCCAGAGTTTTCAACGCTGTGGCGTAGGACGGGACAGAAGGGGTGCCGGCGAAGTTTCTCTTGTCCCTGAGAAGGCAGAGGGGCTGGCTGGCCTGCTCCTCCCCAGGCTTGGATACCGCGGGCCCTCCCCTTACTCCTGTGCCAACGGTGAACTCAGTGAAATAAAAAAACAACCCTAAAAGTAAAAATGGTCCTCCTCCCCTTCTCGGGTGGCCCTTCCTGCCCCTGCCTCAACAGGGAGAGAGCCCAAGTATCGCTGTGATAGAGTCAGACAAGGCCCACAAGAGCTGGCAGGGCGCCCTGCCTCCCCCTGTCTCCCTGCCGGGAGGGGAGGGGAGGGACGGATGAAGGAATGGGTGGATAAAATGAAGTAATAATAACATTAGCTAATGAATAAATAAATTACTAAATGATCAAATAAACAAGATGATCAAATAAATAAATAAATACGGATGGAAAGAAAGAAGAAAAAAAATGTCATCTAAGGATTCAGCCACCGGCCCCCACCTGGGGGGATCTAGGCTGGCACACTAAATAAAGACATGCCAATCATCCCCTAGCTTCAGGGGGCTGGGGGTAGAGGGAGGAGGTGACTCTCGGTTTACAAAAAGACAGTTCTACTACAAAGACAGAGACTGCAGGGAACGTGGCAAGAGATGTGTGTGCTCCCACTCAGAGGGCATAGATGGGGCGGGGGGTCCACAGACGGCAGTGAGACGGCCAAGGTGGATGCCCAAGCTGGCAATCTGAGACACTGGTTCTTGACAGCGATAGGGGAACAGGTCGTTGGTAGTGCAGGCTATCAGAGGGAGAGGAAGATACCTGCGCTAGGTAGAACCTGCAGGGTCATAGGCAGGGCGAGGCCCACATTGGAAACACAGAGACATCTAGCTACTTGGCAGTGATGATGGTGGCAGGTACTTGTGCTTAGTAAAGGTGGGATCATGGGCCCAGAACTGCACCTGGCAGGACCATGGCCAGGGGAATGCCCTCGGCAGAGAGCATGGAGGCAATTCTACTTGGCAGTGGAGACATACAGAGCCTGGCACAGGGCCTGGAACGTGGCAGGCACTCAGTCCACGGGATGAATGGGCAAGTAGATTAGGAGGATGTCAGGCTGCAGGGGGCCTGAGCTGAGGACACAGAGACCATCGTCTTGGTAGTAAACAGAGACGTTCCCCTAGGTCCCCTTCTCCAAGAGGCATCTGCCCCCAGGCACACACTCCTGCACCCTGAGAGCTAAGGCCGGCTGTGCCCAAGGGTTTCACATGTTGGCAGAGAGCTGGGGACCCCGTGGGGCAGCTGGCTCAGGCATTGGTGGCCTGGGGGGCTGGGCTGTCCCTGGAGGCTTGGCCAGCAGCCCTGAGGGGGGCAGGCGCTCACTTCCTGAGCCCTTCCGGCCAGGAGAGCCATCCCCGGCTGCCCGCTGAGGCAGAGAGGGTTGGGAAGCTGAGAGTGGACGGCCCCGAGGTCCTAGCCGCCGTCCACCTCCTCCTGGGGGGGGGCCCAGCAGGGAGACCTGGGAACGCCCCGCCCGGGACAGGCTGGCATGGAGGGTTCGGGCAGGAGGGGCAGGCAGGCGGGAGGTGGATGCCCATGGCCCCCGGACCAGCAGAGGGGCAGCTCGGACAGGCACAAGGGGGGAGGCTGGGGAGCCTGCTGAGCGGCGAGCAGAGCGGGCCAGGAGGGTGGCTGGAGAGTCAGGGGAGAGGGGCAGAGGGCCCCGCTGGTGGGTCAGGGCAATGGCTACGTTGGAGGTCACAGCGGCTGCCTGCAGGGGCGCATGCACCAGTGGCTCCCACAGCACCGGCTTTCCACTGAGCCGAGCCCCCGTGCCCGGGGCCAGGCCTCGAACACCCCGAGCCATGTCCCTGTCGTGTTCCACCAGGTGCTGCTCCACGATGCCCCCGCTGCTACCCGGGCTGGGCTCGGAGCGCTTCCGCTGCAGAAGGGAATTCTTCTTGCCTGGAAGTTGAGCAGGGAGGGAGAAGTTATGGATGGGGAAGGAATCCAGAGATAGAGGGGACATATCAGAGTATGAGAGTGGAGGGACGGAGTCAAGGATGGGTTTGAGGGTCAGGGAGGAGCATCGAGCGCACGGAGATTAGCGAATGTGTGTAGGGGTGAAGTGGGAACACTGGGGCTGGGACTGACGATGGGAGTCGGTGGGGTAGGGCTCAGGAGGTAGGGGTTAGGGGATGGAGACTGGGAGACGGGGGTTGGAGAAAGAGCTCAGGGATGAAGGTATCAGAGAGGGTGAGGGTCGGGGACCAGTACTCAGGGGAGGGAGTGTTCAGGGGATGGGGACTTGGGGTGTGATCTCCAAGGGTAGGAGACACTAAGGGATAAGGACGGTGCACCCCAGTGTTGCAAAGCCTGTTGGGGCATTTGCTAGGACAGGGATGGGTTGGGATGCAATGCTGGAACACTAGGGCCTGGACCTGAGGACTCTGGGGGCCCCTTGCTAAGGAGATGGGGTGAGGGCACAGCCTGGGCCCCGAATGGCTGGGACAGGCAGCCTCACCGATGCGGCGCAGCCGGTCCACGGCCACGGTCTCGAAGGCCCGGCGCATCATGGGGAACTCCTCCAGCACAGCGTTGAAGTGGTCCACGCTGAGCGAGTAGAGGCGGCAGTAGGTGTCAGCCCGCACGCTGGCCGTGCGCCGGCCGCGGGTCAGCAGGCAGATCTCTGCAGGAGTTGCGGGGAGGCCTTCAGAACCCCTTTCCCCAGAACCCCCTTCACCAGGCCTGCAGCTGCTGACCCAGCTTCCTTAGGCTCCTTCCGAGACTTGGGGGAAACTAATGATCACCCAGCCACCTCTGGGGCCTCTAAATGCTCCAAGCTTCCTCCTGCTGCACCACCGTGAGGGTCTTCGTCTCTCTCCAGACCTCCACAAGTAAGTCTTTATGCTCCCTGCTTCCCTCTGGATTACAGCTTCCTGTCCTTCTCACTCTCTCCGTCCCCGGCTACTGGACCCCACTTGACCACCCCCTACTGCTCTATCTCAAGGGATGGACCTGGTGCAAATCTCTCTGTGGACTCCCTTCCCACCACCAGGCAGATCTGAGGCAACACCAAGGACAACCCCAAAAGAGAAAAGAAGTCCCAAAGGGCAAAGCACAAAGCGATGGGGATGCTGGAGGGTGGAGTGTGGCTTGGGAACTGAGAGGATCTAGGAACCTCAAGTCACTTTGCGTGGCAGCTGGCTGGTGGTATGGTCCCTGACTCACGCCACCAGGGCAGCAGTGAAGGGAGCCCTGAAGCTCAAGGCCCTGGGATAGCTCTGTTCTGTTCCTGTCTCCCCCTCATCTCCTCGGATCCTCCAATTCCACTCTTTAAGAGTTCTAAAAGGCCCTCTGCCCAGGAATTTTCAACCTGGCTGTGCACTGGAATCTCCTGAGAAGCTTTTAGAAAAGACGGAGCTCCAGGCCCCAGGCCCAAGGATTCTGACTGCGTGGCCTGGGGAGGGGCTGGGACACTGTGATTCTGCAGCATAGCCAGGCGAGGACCCTGATCCAGGGCAGCAGCAGCCCCCATCCTCTGCTCCTGACCCCCCACCCCCCGAGTCCTGCTGACCCCCAAAGTAGGATCCGTCAGTGAGGCGGGTGTCCCGGGCGCCACGCGCCAGCACACTGAGCAGCCCGTGCTGGATGAAGTACATCTTCCTGCCCACGGAGCCCTCACGCACCACGAGGTCCCCCGGCTGGAAGACCTCAAAGCGCAGTTTGGTAAGCACCGCCGTGACGAAGCTGGGGTCGGCGTGGGTGAACAGCGGCATGTGGGCCACCAGGCCCCGGCAGGTGAAGTTAATGATCTCCTGGGCAGGGAAGGGGCCTGTCAGGCAGGCTGTGCCCCCTGCCTGAGGTGCCCCCACTGAGCTCATCTGTCCTAAAAACCCCACCCCTGGGGTCATGATCTGCCAAATGATGAAGCCACTTGAGGGGGCCTGGGGCCATCTCTAAACTCCTGCCTTTAGAGTTCTCCCATGAGCCCTTGGCAGGAACCTACCCACCCCCCATAGAGGTCCCTTCGATCCCTCCCCATGCATACGTCACCCCCGTAACACCCTGGTGAAAGTCCCTTAACCCCTAAAAGCTCCCCGGAGACCTGGCTTCCTGGGGGGGTTGTCTGCAGGCCCCAGTCCCTAGCCTCTCCCCCCAGGCAGCATCCCCAGAAGCCCAACTCTTGGAAGAGCCTCCGCCTCAGGGCCCAGCCTGGCCCACCTCCCGAAGAGGCTCGCTCAGCTCCCCTAGGATGCTTTCCTCGTCGAACATCTTGCCTTGGTAGCGGTGCTCATAGTACTCATGGATGCGCTGCCGTGTGTCTGCCGGCAGCTTGTGGAAGGCCATGTACTGCTCCACCTGCTTATACTGGGGAGGCCGCCCATTGCCGGCAGGCAAAGGGACACGGAGGCCGAGGCAGGGGTCAGAACGGGGCGGGGGTGTGCAGGTGAGTCACAGACGCAGGCCAAACCCAGAGGGTGAAGCATGGAGTCAGACAAGATTGCACAGGCCCGTAGAAAGACACAGATAATGTTGGATACAGGGATGACACAGAGCACGGTCACAAGAGAGCCCAGACATGGGCAGGGGAGGGGTCCAAGGGTAGGGGCATGCCAAGCGTAAGTGCAAACAAGGAAAAGATATACACAGGGACATGGGAGAAGGGGACACAGCACAGGGAAGGACACAGAGACCAACAGGGGAGCATCAGAATGGGTATCAAGTGGAGTTTCCCGGTGCCCAGCACCCCTCCATGCCCACCCCTTCCTCCTTCTGCCCCTGCTGACCTTCTCCTGGTACTGGCGCCTGGAGGAGTCAAGGGATTGGATGAGAGCCGTGGCGTGGCCGATGAACATGGCGTAGCAAGTGGCGCCCACGATCATGCTGAGCATGGTGAGCCAGACGTCTGGCATGCCCACGGGTGCCTGCTGCCCATAGCCAATGCAGAGCATGTGGCTCATGGCCTTGAACAGGGCGTGGGAATACTGGCGGCCCCACGAGTGGTTCTGAGGGCAGAGCGTATTGCACAGCTGGGCATGGGCTTCTCAGGGCCTCGTTTCTCTTCCTGCTGCCCCTTTCTCCTTCAGCCCTTCTTCCTGCCCTCGTCTAGCACTTGCGTTTATTTTAGGGACCCCGAGGCAGAGGGAGGCCTCTTTTGTATTTTAGGGGGAACCTCAGTTTCTGCTTTAGCTTGCTCCTTGCCTGCTTCCTACAATACACAAACACTTCCTCAGGGTCTTTCCCCCTCCCCTCCCTCCCCCCACTCCCTCCCCCCTGTCTTCTCTCTAGGTCACCTCTCAATCATCTCCTGCCTCTCGTCCCCGGGGGCGCCCGCAGAAGGCCCCGAGAGGCAGAGTACGGGGATTTCTCACCACCATGCGGTTGATGGAGACCCAGCAGTCGGGAGGGAAGTCCTGCAGCATGGGGACCAGGAACTGCAGGCAGCCGTCCCAGTGACACAGCAGCAGCATCATCCCGATGAGGTTGAAGATGCGAACCACTGCGCTGGCCAGGTCATAGGTCATGTGAAAGATCTGAGGGGGCGGAGGAGAGGCCCGCTGTGGACAAGAATCCCTCCCTGCTGGTCCTCCTCCATTCCCAGCCTTGCAAATTCTCTCTGAACTTCCCCCTAGCCCCGGGCCCATGAATTAAAAAAAAAAAAGTGGCTATTATTCACCTGTGTAGCACTTCACAGCACACACGCATAGCTAATACACGCTGGCTTGTGTTACTATCCTTATTGCCGTTAGGTGCCGGCAAGTCCATTCAGACTCATAGCAACCACATCTGACAGAGCAGAACTGCCCCATAGGGTTTTCTAGGCTGTCATCTCTATGGAAGCAGATCGCCAGGTCTTTCTCTCACTAGGTGGGTTCGAGCGGCCAACCTTTTGGTTGTTACTACTACCATTTTATAGACAGGAAAACTGAGGCGTGTCCAGGATCACATTGTAAGTGTCATGGCAGAGACTCAAACCCAGGTCACAACTGCCCAGACCGAGCCTGGAAAGAGGAGAGCATTTCATAACGCAATAGCCACTGGGTATGTGTGGTGGGGATGAAAGCCAGCGGCCCTCTTCCCTTCCAATAATAATAACGGCTAATTTACGAGAACTTACAACATGCCAGGCACTCTTCTAAGTGGTTTATACCTATTAACTCCTAATCCTCACAACCTTCTCAGAGAAAAGTATATTTTTAACATTCCCATTTTACAGAAGGAGAAACTGAGTCTCAACGCAGTAAATAACAACATTGGGATCTGACCACGGTCAGCAAGACTAGAGAGCTCACGCTCTGAACCAGTAAACTCCGCCTGAAGCTAAAGCTTAACTTCTTCCACCCCCTGCAATTCCTAGCTCCCTCTCTCCACATCTTCCTCCCCAGCGTCCAGCCAGCCCTCAAGGTCTTGTCCAGCAGCTGTGCTCCACCCTCCTGCACCACCATCCCACCGGAGGCTCATCCCCTGAACCCTCATTCTGCCCTTGCTTCCCCGCCACCACCAACTTTGGAGACAGCCCACCCACTGAAGCCCCACCCACCTATCCTACCCCTTGAAGCCACCAGAAGCCCCGCCCATAGCGCCATCCTGGAGTCTGCGAGCCCCCCTGCCCACCTCCCCGCCCCACCTCCTCCCACTGATGGATGTAACGGATGAGGCGGGAGAGGCGGAGCAGCCGCAGCAAGCTGAGGATCTTGGTGAAGCGCACGATGCGCAGGGCCCGCGCTGTCTTGTAGACCTCGGCGTCCAGTCGCGGCTCCAGCTCCACCACCAGGAAGATGTAATCCACAGGGATGGAGGAGATGAGGTCAACCAGGAACCAGGTGCGCAGGTAGCGTGTGCGGATGGCCCGCGGTGCCAGCAGGATCTCGGCGCCCTCTTCCACCACTATGCCCGTGCGGAAGTTGAGCACCAGGTCCAGCAGGAAGAAGGTGTCAGAAAGGACGTTGAAAACGATCCAGGGTGGGGAGTTCTCCTCCTTGAAGAACGTGATGCCCACGGGCAGCACGATGAGGTTCCCCACCATCAGCAGCAGCATGATCAGGTCCCAGTAAAACCTAAGGTGGAGGTGGGATGGGGACTAAGGCCACGATGAGACTTCACCAGCCGCTGGACGGATAGCAGGTAAAGAGCCTGGCGGCCAAAAGCGGGCAACAAGGCAGAAGAATGGAATGAGCATTTACCACGGGTGGGAGTGTGAATTGGGACCACCAACCAAAACAAACAAACAAATCTGTTGCTGTCAGTCGATTCTGACTCACAGCAACCCTATAGGACAAAGTAGAACTGCCCCATAGGGTTTCCAAGGGGTGGCTGCTGGATTTGAACTGCCAACCTTTCGGTTAGCAGCCTTAGCTCGCTGTAGCTCTTAACCGCTGTGCCTCAGGGCTCCATAGGGACCATTTAGTGGGAAAACAGTTTGGCATTCTGTAGTGTAGTAAAGTTAAGCATTTGCATTCCCCCGCAACCCAGCAATTCCATTCCTAAGTATATACCCACAAAAGGGAAACATGTGCTCCGGGAGACGTACACAGGAATGCTTAGAGCAGCATTAAATCTGGAAACTCATAAATGTTCATCAGTAGGGAAATGGATAAATTACACTGAGGTATATTCCCGCCAGGGAATACTCTACAACAGTGAACTCCCCCAGCTACAGCTACGTGCGGCAGCATGGATCGGTCCTACAAATTCAATGTTGAGGAAAAGAAGCAAGACACGAAATGATACACACTAGATGTGCACAAAGCTTAAACACAGGCAAAGCTAAACCACTTTGTTTAGGGGTTCATACAAAAGTGGTAACACTACAGAGAAAAGCAAGGAAATGAGTACTAGGAACTTCAGAACGGTGGGTGGGAAAGGAAGGTAAGAGCAAGAGGGGGGTTTCTGGGGAGCTGGCAATGGAGTATCTCTTGACCTAGATATCTGTTACGTGGGAGGTTTGCTTTATAACAATTCCTTTAGCTATATACATACATATATACATGTATACAGTATGCCGCTACTATATATATATGATACATATGACCATTATTAAATATTTTTAAAGTTAAAAACAGATAAACTACCCTGTGTTTCTCTCACAGGGTTGTTGAAACAAATACCCACGGAGACAAAGGATGTGACAGCTGTAAAAGGACTAGTTGGTGTTATGACTCACCGCTCTTTATCCTGTCTCAAAAAGGGTGCTGCTCTCCCATCGCCAGCTCTCTGCCCACTCCTAACCTAGGCCCTCACACCCTCCCTAGCCTTCACCACCCCGTCCCTCCTCCCCAACACAGTTGGACCTCTGGCTTCTATTTCTCTGCCAGGATCTGCCCATATGTGTCCCAAAGATCTGTCCTGCCTCACATCTGAACTGAGCTTTTCAAGGCTATTCCTCCCCCCTCAGACAGGGCTGTACATGCAGACAGGCTCCATAGGAGAGCCCAGGCAGCAAGGCTTGACGCTCTGCACGCCTTTTCCTCTCCTCCCGCCCCCTCCCTGTTCGCAGTGGGACTCTGGCTGAGCCCAGGCAAGGACCTGCGCAGGGGGAGCCACACTGCTGTGGCGGCAGCTGTGGAAAGAAGAGGGAAGGAGGGAGCTGGGTGAAGCCCTCATTCGGAGAAAATCACTGGATAATCTCAGGGTCTCAATTACCTGTAGTGGTTTAATTTCCAGGAAACGCCTAGTCAACCCAGAACCCAGCTCCTCTGACTCTGACTGCAAAATCAATCCTTTCAGCCCCTGAAAGGGGCTTGGTGGTCCGCAATCCAGGCTTTTCTCTCCAGGCTTCCGGGAAGCCTCTCAGACTGTGCACACTGAAGCAACAAGTTCTTGACCCCTTCTTCCTCTCCCTCGTGGACCACTGAGGGGAAATTCTGGACTGTGCGCTGGGAGAGGCGAGGGAAAGAGGGTTCACCTAACCATAGAGGATCTTCACAGCCTGACTCACAGGCAGTCACAAGCCCAGCGGGTGATGCAGTAGAGAGGACAGAGAAGAAGCACCATCATAAGGGGGATACGTGGCTTCTGGGGATACATCTGAGGGTGAAGCAGGGGAGGCAAGGGATGCCCACAAGAGACTAGATAAGGTGCCTTGGAGGGATGGGAATGAGGCAGTAAAGAAAGGAGTGGACGGAACAATGGGAAAAGGAGGAAGACTTAGGGAGTGTGTATGTCTGTGAATTCAAGATGATGTCTAAGTCCCCCAGATGTGCTTTCAGGCTCCTGAGTCACACCTCATCTTCCTGCTCCTTCCTCACCCTGCCCCATCCAAAAGCTGCCCTTCATTTTCCCAAGGACAGGGCTGCTCTCCTCCCCTAGCGACCTGGATGCAGAGGTACAGCCTGATGGGTCCATGAAATGGCCCCACCCCCACCCCGTCTTCTCTCAAGGAGTCACCTGGGCGGTGGCCGGGCCCCTTCACTGCAGCCTCAATCGCTCTAAGTCCCGGGCCCGCCCCTCTCCCCTATCTTCAGCACCAGGGACAGTGCTGGACCTCCCTCCTCCCCAGCGTCCCTAATTTTCCTGGTAGCCTGCACCGCTAAACTAGGCAGGTGCTGGGGATGCGAGACAGCGAAGCTCGGCTTTTCCCTCCAGCTGACCCCGAGCCGTGGGATATGACAGAATACCCCTGCTCCCCAGCAAGCAGGGCTGGAGGAGGTAGGGGTTCCTAACCCTGGCAGTCCCTGAGGTCAGAGTGGAGTCCCGGTTCCTGAAACGGTAAATCCAGGTCCCCGGAGATCAGTGACGTCTGCATGCCCCTTCCGGTGCCCCCAGTCGGAGAAGTCACCAAGGACCTCCGGCCGGGGATCCCCAACCTAGGAATTCCCAGGTTAGGTGGGGGGAGGTGACCCCCTTGAAACACCCTGGGACCCCTGGGCCGGAAATGAAGTGACCGTGGAGGGTGGAGAGGAGCCAGCCCCCTCGTCGCAGCCCGCGGGGTGGGGTCTGTGTCCCCCGCCCTCCCCGCCTGGCCCCCAGTACCGGAAGTCGCTGTAGGGGTGGATGATCCAGGCCCCCGCTGACTTGACTCGCTCCTGCTCGATTTCCACTGCTTTGTGGCTGCCGAACACGCGAAGGGAGAACTTGTTGACCGTGGGCTGCAGCAACGTCCTGAGCCGCCTCCTCTTGGGCTCGGGTCCCGACCCGGGGGTCGGACCGGAGGCCACGGTCGCAGGCGCCGGGGCAGTGGGAGGCGCTGCCTCCAGCCCAGGGGTCGCCCCGTCGCCGGCCCCCGCCGCCGGCCTCTGCTCCGCCTCCATGACGCCCGCCCGCTTACACGGTTGGCCTCCTGGACCCCGCCGCCGCCATCGGGAACCCTCCCCCGGCCCCTCCGGGAGCCGGAGCCGGCGCAGCCCGGCGGGCTCGGAGCGAAGGAGACGTCGGCTAGGAACTGCGGGCGCGCGGGGCGGAGTGGGTGTGTGCGACAGACACCAGGGCAGGCGGCCGGCGGGCTGCGCTGCGCCCCCTGGCGAGGGCCGCGCGAAGGCCAGGCCGGGCGGGCGGGGGCGGGATCGGCCGCGCGCCCTCCCGGGAGGGGGCGGGGCCGGTGGAGCACGTGGCTCGGAGGGCGCCCCCCCCCCCGGGGGGCGGGACTTAGCAGGATGGAGGCGGTTCTCCAAGGGTTGGTAGAGGGAAGGGCGGGGCGGCGCGGCCGGGGTCGACGAGGGGGCGTGGCCTAGAATCGGAGGGCTTTTATCCACAGAGAGTCAAGGGGGTGAAGCCGCCTGCGAGCGGCGGAAAAGCCGGACGCAGGTTGTATCACCTGAGACTCAGGACGACGAGGGACTGGGCGCCGGTGGGAGAGGTGGGGAATAGCTTTTGAGATTCTTCTTCCTCCCCCTCCCGCATGGACTTCTGCCCTCCTGCATTTCACCTTCCGTCTCTTGGCACTGTCCTAGGCACATTCCTCTCCGATCTCCTCCACGCTGCCGCCCCCCCCTCGTATTTCATTTCCGAATTCATTCTGCCAACCTTCACCAAGGGCGATTCTGTCTGGCGCTGAGTAGATGCTGAGGATACAAAAATGAATGCGAAAGTCCCAGCCATCCAGACACTACTTGTCTGTGCCCACTGACAGACCCGCGAACGGGTAAATTACAGCGCTGTGTGACATTCAAGGAGTTCCGGTGGTGCAATGGTTAAGCGCGCTTGGCTGCTAACAGAAAGGTTGGCGGTAGATTACATCCTAGAAAACTCAAGGGGGAAGTGCTATGGGGTCCCTTTGAGTCAAAATTGACTGGACGGCACCCAACAGCAACAACATATGATGTTAAGTGGTATAAGTTCCTAAATACCCCAAAGTCTTCTCGTCACCGTTTCTTATTGCCACTGTGGTCTTACTTCAAGCCGTCAGCACTTTTACCTCATTTCAGAAGCCCCTGAAAGGGTCTCCAGCCTCTCTTCCAACCCAATTCTTTTCACACTCTGCTAGAGTTACCTTCCTAAAATCCAAATGTAGCTATGTCACTCCCTTGCTTAAAGTCCTTCAAAATTCCCCATCTTCTGTAGAATTATATTTGAACTCCTTAGTATGGCATACAAAGCCTGCAAAATTTGGACCTAGTTTCAGCAACATCTCTTCTGACAGTCCCTCTCTTGAAACCCAGGGTTTCAATCATGCTGAAAAGCTGACACCACTACCACCAGTTGCCATCAAATCAACTCCAACTCATGGCAACCTGTGCTGGGATGTATTGCTTTTATATGGCCTTTCTAGCCATGGTCTTGTAACTCCCACCAAATGACTGGGTGTGACTATGCAAAAAAGGTGTTTGCGGCCCACCAAGGGGATTGGACAGCTTGCTAATAATACAAATAAGGTGCATGGCATGCTTGTGGGGGTGGGACCACGCAAATAAGTTGTATGGAACCCTAAGGAGCAGATCGGCCAGTTTTGCCACTCCACTAGGCTTAAAATGAGCCATCCCAGAGGTGGAAAGGGGGGACCTGATTACCACCAAAAAGAAGAAATGGGAGTGAAGCATGTCTTTTGGACCTGGGATCCCTGCACTGAGACCCTCCTAGACCCAGGAGACAGAGAGAGAGAGAGCTGTAACACCAGAGACAGCAAGACTGAGAAGCAGTGGTAGAGAAACAGTGGCAGCTGAAGCAGCAGAACCAGGAGACCGGCAGGAAACAGCATAGTGAGCTTCCCGATCATCCACAGAGAAAGAAAGCTGAGCACCTTCGGGCAGGAGGCTTGCTGGCAGAGTAGGGTGCCTCTGGGCACTTGTCGGTGGAGCTAGGTTTGCTGACCCACTGAGCAAGAGAGTTGAGCGTCTTCAGACCGAGGCTTACTGCAGAGTGGGGTACCTCGGAGCACTTACTGGAGGAGCTAAAGAGCTTTGTAACATTTGCCCGAGTAGGGCAGAGGCTGGGCCGCGGGGCCGAGGGCCAGAGAGAAGCCTACCTGCAGGCATGGCTGAGAAGAGGCTGTCCCAATCTAAGAACTGTATCCTGAATTGTAAACTGTTACTTCCCTAATAAACCCCCTAACGGTGAATATGGTCTGTGAGTTCTGTGTGGCCATTGCAAGGAATTACTGAACACAGCAGAAAAGCAGAGTGCTGTGGGAGGGACGGCTGGTGTCAGAACTGGTAAAAGGTTGGAGGGTGGAGGCATGTTTGACCTCAGCCCTATAGGAATCAGCCTTGGGCTGTTGATGCTGATATTGATTCTCTCCCCTCTGCAAAGTTAGAGTAGGTCAGACGCCTCTGCAGCCCCACTGTTACACAACACCACGTGTGTCAGAGTAGAACTGTACTCTGTAGGGTTTTCAACGGCTGGCAGCTTGTCATTCTTCCGCATTTCTTCAGAGGTACCTCTGGGTAGAATCAAACTTCCAAACTTTTGGTTAAACCAAAAAAACAAACCCATTGCCATTGAATCGATTCTGACTCATAGTGACCCTAGAATCGAGTAGAATTGCCCGCCACAGGGTTTCCAAGCCTGTAAATCTTTACAGAAGCAGACTGCCACATCTTTCTCCTGCGGAGCAGCAAGCAGGCTCAAACCACAGACTTTTAGGTTAGCAGCCAAGCACTTAACCACTGCGCCACCGGGGCTCCCTACTCTTTTGGTTAGCAACCAAGAAATGCTGGCAGCTTCCTGAAATGCTTTGTTCTGTCTTGTCTCCAGCCTTTGCAAATGTGTTCTCTGCCTGGTATTCTTCTCCAATTCACTTTCCAACAGTTGGTTCAGATCTCAGCTCTTCTAGGAAACCTAGAAACACATTCTCAACGCTCCTTCCCCAGGTAGGGTCTAGACTGTTGTTTCTAGCTGCTGATGAGTCAGCCCCCTACTCATGGTGACCCCATGCACAATGGAACAAAATGCCGCCTGGTCCTGCACCGTCCCCATGATTGGTGGTAGATCAGACAGTTGTGAGGGTTTAGTCTAGAGCTTTCTTACAGAAGCCAGGATACCATTCTTCGTAACAGTGCTTGTCACATGTCTGTCATTTGTGTACAGGTCTGTCTCTTCTATTAGATTGTGAAGCTCTGGAGAACAGTAATCCTGCACTTGGTATGATGTTGGACACATAGTGGGCACTCACAAAATGCTTATTGAATAAATGGTCTGGGAAAGAAGTGTTCCTTCATCCCAACGCTTTCTATTTTACCAAACTTCTTCTCCTAAATATTTCTACTTAATTGGTCTAATCTCTATCTGACTATTCCCTATCCTAGTTCCCCTCTTATATTCTCTAACTTTAATATGATTATTCTCAGGTTGTTCTTTCCTTTTTCAACCTTCTTTTCTGACCATTTTTGAATTCCTTCTATAGCGTCTCTGACCCTGCCCGGTTTGCCTCAAGGTCTCCTTCTCTTTCTTGCTCTTACTGGTTCAATTCAGTAAATTTATACTTCTCACATACTATGTGTAAAGCGCGTAAGATACAGTTCTCAAGTGATTTCCCCCTTTTAACATATCTGTTTCTGAAACCTTTCCTCAACGGTCATGTCCCCCGCTGCCACATGTGCAGAACTTTTGCTCACGACAAAAGGTCGAAGCCCCTCTTTCCTGGGGTTAGGTAGGCAAACTGTTTTAAGAACTGGATGTTTTCAGGCTTGGAGAAACAGACCTCAACACCAAAGCTCACAACAGTCAGAAGGTCTGCGGAGCGGCAACACTATTTCTTTTACATCTCCAAATCCAGCTACGTAAGCCACAGAAGTCTGCATGAAAAGGGCGACGGACTGAGAAGCCAGATCTCTCTGAGTGGAGGCGGACGGGGCCGGCCTGGCAGGTAGCCAAGCGCGCCTTACGGCTCCCTCCCCGCCCCAGGCACTGCCGCCCCTAATACCTCCCTGCCCCGATCGGCGGGCAATGCAAGCTACGTGAGCACGCGGTGGCGTGCGCGGCCCTGGGGGCGGAACCCAGGGGTAGCTGGGAAGCGACGCAGGACGTGCGTGCGTGCGTACGTGCTCGCTCACGGTGGCGGTGGCGGAGCGGAGAGGCCAGAACCGGAGACCGAGCTGGGATCGGGCCCCGGGCTGGGGCCTTGCGAGCGGCGCCAAGTGGATCCTGGGGGCGGGAACGGAGCCGGGGCGGGCGGGACTGGAGCGGAGCCCGGGAACGGGGCGGGAGGTCCCAGGGTCCCGGGTTGGGGGGGCGGAGCTGCACTTCGTCGCCGCGGGGGTGCCGGGACTCCGGCCGCAGTGCCGCCGCCATCACGGACTTCCTGTGGGACAAGCGCACGGGCCTCGCCGCCAGAACGGTGAGCGCGCGGGCTGGAGGGCTGCGGGGCCGTGCGGAAAGATGGCGAACGCGGGGGCGCGCCCTGCGGAGCGGGCGGGGATAGGATCGGATTGGGGGCAAGGGACCGGGGCGAAGATCGGGAGAGAGGAGGAGGGTTGAAAGCTGCAGAGGTGGGAAGTAAGGAGATGAGGTGGAAGCCGGTCGGTCTGCCTTATATACATTCACGAAAGCGTGTAGGAAACTTGGGAGGAGCCGGAGTAGGAGAAGCGGTGATGGAGTAGGGATAGAAGTTCCAGAAATGAGAAAGAGCAGGAGAGCGAAGTTGTACTAAGCTAAGGAGTGGGACAGCATGGATTGTCACTTGGAGGATATGGCGTTGGACTCTAGGAGTGAGTTCTGGACTTTTCGAGTGAGAAAGGGAAAAAAGAGAAGTTGAGACAGATCCTAGGTTAGCTATGCCCTGGGGAAAAAGGCCCGTGCGCAGCTTTGGTGACAGTGTGAATGTGTTGAGATGGCACTTATGCTAAGCCAGGTTGGATAACCAGGGAAATTCTTGTCCT